CGAATTGAAAGAAGGAATTTGGCAGAGAATCGATTCCAACAGATATAAGGCTTCAGTTCTGGCCAATAGAGAAGACTTTTTGCTCGTATTCTCCAACATCGAGGAGTTCTTAATTAGGGCCACATTTCATCCAAATATGCAACAGACTATTATAGCAGACATTGCATTGGATACGGCTGTCCCGCAAAATACTGGCTTACAATTAGCTATAGAGGTCAGTCAGCTTTTATGTTCATTTTGACATAATCTTTATAAACTATTACTTTTAAATACAGGTCGAGCAATGTGTTTGTCCACCAGGTATGAGTTCATAACAAACTAAATTAAATATCAATTAAAACATTTATATCATTAAATAAGGCTATTCTGGATTGTCATGTGAAAACTGTGCACCTGGATATATAAAGGATACTACAAGTCCAGGCTATGGTCGCTGTACTCGTTGTAATTGTAATTCTCATTCAGAAACCTGTGATCCAAATACCGGATTCTGTGTCGTATGTATCAATAATTAATTTAATATGAGATATAATAACAATAAACTAACTTTAACTCGACTTTAATGACTTTAATACCAGAATTGTCGTCACAATACTCGAGGAGAGAATTGCGAGATCTGTGGCGATGGCTATTATGGCGATGCCACTCGTGGTTCACCAGATGACTGCACCCCTTGTCCCTGTCCCTTAATTACACCATCCAATAGTTTCTCTCCAAGCTGTCGGCTTGATTCTGATGGTCAACCCACTTGCAATGCCTGTGCGACAGGTTATTCCGGCAGAAACTGTGAGCAGTGAGTATCGTTTTATAAATTTTAAATTTAACCTTGCTTAAGAAAATTGTTTGTAAAAGGTGTGCATTTGGATACCGAGGAAACCCATTACAACCGGGCAGTAGATGTGAACTGACATCGGGATCGGGACCTACTATTCGTGTGCGCATTGATGAGCCTAAAGTGCAAAGAGTGCCGATTGGGGCAGTGGTCACATTCAGATGCAATGGTGTCTCACAGATAAGTGATGTAAACAAATATATCATCCGTTTTGTTAAGAATATTATGTAAAACAAGACTCAATTGAATGAACAGATCACTTATAACCTGGTTTGGACTAAGGAGAGCGGATCTCTGCCATCCCGAGCATCAGAGGCGAGTGGAATCCTCACCATTCCTGACGTTAGACCGGAATATAGCGGGATATATATCTGCACCGGTTCTGACTTACAGAGTGTAGCTCAGGATCATTCAACACTTATCGTTGAAACCAGTGATCAACCGGCGGTCCCTCGGGTTAGAATTGAACCCTATTATCAAGAAGTAAGAGTAGGGGATACCATGGAGTTTAAGTGCACTGCAGAGGGCTACCCTCCGCCTGAAATAAAGTGGACGGGCGGTCGCAATAACATATTGAATCCGAGCGCAACCTTTATTAATGGTTTGTTTAGAATAGATTCCGTACGAAAGAGTGATGAATCGGAATACTTCTGTCACGCGAGTAATTCTGCCGGATCTGACTCTTTGAGGACTATTCTGTTCGTGAGGGGAGAGGACAGTCCGGATGTCGGTTCCAAACCTCACGTCACTATTTCTCCTGTGAATTACGAGGCAAGACGTGGAGAGACAGTGAAATTTGACTGCAAAGCAACCGGAAGTCCTGTCCCCGATATAAAATGGAGTTATTCTGGCGGAGAATTACCGTATGATTCGAGACAAATTGGAGGTCTACTTATATTGGCCCGGATTACTGAAGCTCATCAGGGATTATATACGTGTTCAGCTCGTAATACATACGGTACAACCCAAGGACAGGCACGCCTGACGATTGAGTCGGGACGGGCTATTCCTACCGCTAGAATAGAGCCCGAGAGGCAGACTATAGTCCAGGGACACAATGGAGAGCTGCGATGTGTGACGAGTGGAAACCCTGTGCCCACTATAAGCTGGCAGAAGATTGGAGAAGATTTAGTGCCGTTAAGGCATAAAACAAACGGAGAATTACTTTTCATTGAGAATGCAGTCATTGAGGACAGGGGTCTATATGTCTGCAGAGCTGACAATCGCGAGGGTTCGGCACAGAGCTCAGCAATTGTCGAAATCGAAAGGAGAGAGGTTCCTGCCATTGAAATATACCCGGAGTCCTCGCAAACAGTCGCGAGGGGAGGAAGGTTTGAGTGAAACTTTTATGAATTACATTTCGGCAATACTTACAACAAACGAATCTCTTTTAAGTGCATTATTTCAATGTCGAGTCACTTCTGGAGTTCCCACACCTTCTATAGAATGGCGTCGAAGTGATGGCAGTCTCTTCACTCAGAGCACTGAACTTCTTGATGGTGTCCTGCGATTCAATAGAGTTACTGGAGATGAGGACGGCGCCTATATCTGCACTGTATGTCATCAAAGAGTTTTAACAAATAAATTATAAAATATTGGTTTAAATTAAAGGCCGAAAATATTGGGGGAAGAGTAACAGCACAGGCAGTGTTACGAATACAGGGCGCGCCTACGGTCAGGATTTTACAATCCAGTCCTTATAGGGTTCGTCCGCATGAAAAGGTTAGACTCGAATGTGAGGCAACCGGAGACCCAAAAGCAAACCTGATTTGGAGGAGAGTATCACAACAGCCGTACTCTAGTGTCCCATCACTTATCGGAAGCACTGGAACTGAAGGCAAAGCCATTATTGAGATTTCCAATGTAACCGCTGCTGACGCCGGAGTATATGTGGTGTGCATTGAATTTACTATTACTAATTGGTTACAAAACTCAATTGAATATACGTTCACTAGTGCACCTGTACTTCAACTTTTGGGACCAGTGAGGAACGCATTCATTTGATAGTTGAAGACGATTTGATGGGAACTGTTGTCCCACACGTTGTTGTCGAAGATAGAGTGGTCACTATTGCCGCTGGAAATAGGGCTGCCATGAGATGCTTCGTTAGGGGAACTACACGTCCCGTGGAATTGAGTTGGATTCGAGTCGGCAATCAATCACTTCCGTCGTCTGCGAGTATAGAGAATGGCGTCCTATATATCGATGACGTGAAGCCACAGGACAGCGGGGAATACCAATGTCTGGGAACGGTTGATGGAAAGACAGTATTGTTTGAGGCCAGAGCCCGGTTAGCAGTTGTCGGTAAGTTGATTGAAAGCGCCGTCATTGTGCTATTGCTATCTTCACTCATTATAATACTACTTGCATTGCTTTCCGCAAGGTATTTGGGCCAGAGGTAAGGCCTGTCTTACTTACTAATCCTCGCTCTCTAACCCTATCCGCTGACTCACCCACTCTTTCTTAATATCTATTTTGTTGTCTAATATATGGTGACAAACAGCGCCCCCAAGAATCCAATTACAACCGACCCGACAGAAGGCCAAACCGGGAGACTCCGTCACTATTGATTGCTCGGCAACGGGTGATCAGCCAATTACTATTGACTGGAGTAGAATAGGAGGCGCATTACCTCCTGGTGTGTATCATCACAGCGGAAGACTTGAATTGCGAGGAATTCAGTTGTCAGACGCCGGGAAGTATCTGTGCACTGCTGTCAACGCCGCCGGAAAGGCAGAGGGAGTCGCAGAAGTGATTGTTGAAGACTCCGATTATAGGGATATTGTGCGTAAAGAAGAGACAGCTTTTGTTGGCTCTAATGTAGAGCTTAAGTGTCAATTTGGTGGCTCTCCCGCCCCTGCCATCAGTTGGTCCAAAGATTCAATGAGTCTTCCAGAGAATGCAAGAGAAGTCAACAACGAGTTATGGATTCGAAATGTTAGGCTAGAGAACGCCGGGAGATATGTAAGTCTAGGAAGTATTTAATTGACAAATCATATAAATATTGAACTGTTGGACAGATATGTACGGCCACATCCAGTCACGGTGTCCTTCTGTCAAGAGATTATGTCATACTTAATGTCAGAGGTTTGGACACTATTTTATTAACATTAATGCAATAGTTTTAAAGTGTCAACTAAATACAATAAACTAATCGTAACGCTTTTGTTTGACTGCATGTCATAGTAATTAATTTGATTTAAAGAATATTTAAAATAAATTTTTGGTCAGAAAAACAATGCCAACCAAACCAATTCAGATGTGATGATGGAAACTGTATTGATTTAATATATCATTGCAATCAAAAGTATGATTGTCCTGATTATTCAGACGAATATAATTGCGGTATTATTTTTGGTTTTTTATTTTTCATTTACTTTTCATTTCGTTATAGAACTAAAAATTCTCTAAATTCTGTAAATCTAAACACTAAAGCAATACCTAGGCACTACCTAGACAATATCTAAACACCAATAGCAAAATCTATGCATCTCATTTCATACAATATTTGCTATTATTTATATTTCAATGTCTTTCAGTTATTCCCTCTCTTGAAGTCAAAATAATTGCAAACAAAGAGCGGATCTATTTGGGTGATCATCTCACTCTTCAATGCCAAGTGTCTGGTGATCCGTCAGCGCGGGTCGAATGGAAAACATTGAGTCAAAGCGGACCCTTTGCACCCAATATTGTGATTCGTGGATCAGTTCTTGTAGTAAATGGTGTTAAATCAGAAAACGGAGGCATTTATAGGTATGTCTTAATATGGATATCAAATGAATAGATGCACAGAATTGACCAGATTTCCAAAATTATATACATAAAACCTTTTGCATATAAAAATTAGGTGCACAGTTGATACTTATGCGGGAACTTATAATAGTGATTATGTTTTGGCCATTGAAGGTAATTATGTTTATTTAGAAATATTGCTTAAATACTGTAATTAATTATACTATATATGCATTATTTAAAACTTACACCAAATGGATATATGTGAGTTATTTTCATAGATTAATCATTAAATATAAGCAAATGGTTAATACAGTACATTAATTTGTTTATAATTGGGACAGAAATGCCTACCGTTGCTCCCGATGCAGTTGAGAAGAGGTCCGCACCAATTGGATCAACTGTTGTGATGGACTGTCAGAATTCATTAGAACTACCGGTTCTTTATAGTTGGGCCAAACAGGGAGGAGCTCTTCCTACTGAAGCCACTTCGGACGAGGAGGGAGTCCTCACACTCCGTAATGTGAGGGGACAGGACTCAGGTTTGGCTTTCCTTATGAATGCTTAATATTAACATCTGGATGAAACATATGATAGTAATACTGGACATTCCTTAACCCCTGTTTAGGCACCTATATCTGTACGGCTAAGAATGATTATGTGTCCATTGATATACCACACGTACTCGTAGTGACAGGTGTGGTGCCATACTTTTCTCAAACACCCCTGTCTTATATGGTTAGACCTACTCTACCCGATGCTTACCTAACTTTCGACGTTGAGATCTCATTCCGACCCGAAGATCCTAATGGTTTAATCCTATATAACGGACAAAAACAAAATTCTGGAGATTTCATATCACTTGGGCTAACAGATGGTCGGGTAGAGCTGAGGTATGATTTGGGCGCCGGAATGGCTATTCTTACGGGTGATCGACCGATAGAAATGAGGAAATGGCATAAAGTAAAGTTTAGTCGCAATAAAAAGGACGGTGTCTTACAAATCGACGATCAAATTGCAGTAAAAGGGACGGCTCCGGGACTTAAGATTGGTCTCGACCTTCTCGAACCTCTATATATTGGAGGAGTTCCTGATTTTTCACAAATATCTAAACAAAACGGTTTCAATAAGGGATTCGTTGGTTGCATCAGTCTCTTCAAAGTAGGAACCGTTACGCATGAGTTAGTCAACGAAGCAGAAGCTCATTCAGTCACCAATTGTGAGACCTGTGCGCCAAATACCTGTGCCAATCAAGGTGTCTGTCAGGAGACATCTCTCAAGACATCGGGCTATACATGTGTCTGCGCCGCCGGCTTCTCGGGCAATAACTGCGAAAAGATAGGCGACTCGTGTTTCCCTGGGGTTTGTGGTTCTGGTCGCTGTCTAAACAAAATGAATGGAGGCTTCGATTGCTTTTGTCCGTTCGGGAAGAGTGGCCTCAGATGTGAGAAGGATATCCTAATCAGAGAGCCGACCCTCTCTAACGACGCCTACATCGCATACCCGACACCAAAGGACACCCTCAATAAAATGAGTTTACAAATCAAAATAAAACCAAAACGATTAGATGACGGCTTACTAGTCTATAGCTCGCAAAATCACGTGGGAAATGGAGATTTCATTTCCCTGGCCATTAAGAATGGTAGCGTTGAGTTCCGATTCGATACCGGTTCCGGACCGGCAGTACTCAAGTCTACCCTAAAGATTGATACCGACGAGTGGGTGACTATTGTGGCCAAACGTGATCTCCAAAAGGGTTCACTAAAAGTAGGGAACAGTCCGCCCGTGTTTGGAGAATCTCCTGGACGTACACGTGGTTTGAACCTCCGATTACCGCTGTATGTGGGGGGTTGGGACAAACAACAGGTCACTATCGCACCATTCGCTGAAATAACTCACGGGTTCTATGGATGTGTCGGACATGTGAGTCAAACTAATAATCTATGTCTATATTTGTATAATTTATAACATATTGAATATCTATTTCTAAACCAGATTGAAGTGAACAGTGTAGAAATAGATTTAGTCGACTCTGTAATCGACTCATCAAATGTGGCCGATTGTGGGTCAGAGTCTCCCTGTCAGCGGATGCCATGTCTTAATGGTGGCCAATGCAGAGACATCGGTAGCACTGACTTTGAGTGCATTTGTCAGAAAAACTTTACCGGTTTGTCATTTGATTGATTGACTTTTAATATTCAACTAAATATCTGTAATTAACTAAAAATTCAGGAAAAGTGTGCCAACGAGTGAACGGTGTCTGTGAAATGACAAACCCTTGCAAAAACGGCGCCTACTGTCAGAACATAGACTCCCATTCCTACAAATGTTTGTGTCCGATCGGCTTTAAAGGCAGTGTCTGTAGTGAAAGACACGAATTCTCTGATCCCGAAGCAGTCAGACTATTGGGCGACGGATTCCTCACTTTCAACACAAACCTTTTGCCACATTCTTCGAGTTTGGCCGACGAAGTCATTAAGTTCACGATCTCTACACAAGAAGATGAGGGCCTTGTCTTCTTTCACGGCCAGACACCTGATGCTAACGGAATAGGAAAAGACTTTATGGCAGTTGCTGTAAATGACGGACAAATTGAATTCACTTTCGAGTTGGGCAGCGGATCCGCAAAGATTAGATCTTTTGTCAAAGTGAATGACGGCTCCAAACATATAATTGTAGTCAAACGGAAAGGCAAAGAGGGAAGTCTTACCATCGATGGAACACATGAATCATACGGCGAGTCGAGCGGAAGTTTGCAGACATTGAACGCGAGCGGAGATATATATATCGGCGGTCTTCCAGACTATACTCTGATGAGTGGCAATCGATTCACTGGATTTGTCGGTTGTATTTCCGACATAGAGATCGGCACTTCCGGTGTACTTAATATTGTCACTGAATCCAAGAGCGCTCAAAATGTTCTCAATTGTGACGAGTGAGTTATTAATCATTATGCAAACTAACCTAGTTAGTGTCTAGCTAACTTTCACTGACACTTTTATTCTGTTTTAGGTTGACGTCAAGCGGTTTCATATCTTAAAAATCTATTGTTTTGTAAAATAAATCTAATTATTAGTGCTTCTAATTGTCATCAATAGTCAAATCATATCTAATAATCTTAAATCATTCTGACTTTTGTGTTCAAACCTATTGTCGAGTCTTTTAATACTTGTGCCTCAATTGGGAGCGAATGACAAATAACTGCCATTTTTGAACATTTCTTTCATTGTCTTATAAATTAAGTGAAATTTTCATTTAAATAAATTATAAATACTTATTAATGACTTTTATGACAATAAATATATTATATATTGGATTATAATATAACCTTAACACTGATACCAAATTAACCAACAATTCCAGTGTTGGACACAAAAATAGTTTATATAATAAATACATAAATAAAATGTTTAGAATTTGCCATTTTAAATTCAACTGAAAATATAAATTATATAAAAATAATTAACAAATGATTTGAAACTTTAGTAACTTTTCCATAACATTAGACTTACTATCCAATAGTTAATGATATAATAGTGTGTTTTACATGAATTTGTTAAATACTAAAACATCACATTCGTGTCTATTATGAGATATTATCAATCGTTATCTACATTTCCAAGCAGTCAATGGTTTTCTCTGAAGGTTATGAATCTTACTTCGGCCCCATTTAAACCAAACCAATCCCAACACAACACAGAGAACTACTTCCACGTAATAGCCGTCAACAGTGACATCACAGGCGCCGTTCTTCAGTTGGCATTCCTCCACAGAGAGCGAGTCATTGCATGAAGTGTCGCCCACTGAACACGACTTTCTGGTCAAGGGGTCAATGAACCAGAGGGCCAGAGTGGAGGGCCAGTTGCCGCCCAAATTGGTGATTGTGTTGAGTAGAGTCATATAAGTGCCACCAATGGACGGGTCACTTATGCGGGCGTGAAATGCCATGAGAGCCACAAACATACTGTAGAGAGCGATCTGATGCAAAGCATAGGCAAACAAAATGACGCCATAATAATAGGCCGGGAATGTGCCGTCGCTCGAGGATTTCACGTGTTTTGTCCACCAAAGGAGGACTGCAAACACAATACCAAACAATAGTCTGCAATAGATTTCAATTCAATTAATCATTTCTTTTAGCAATTCTTACGTTAGTTGCAAACCTAATTGGGTAAGCCTTCAGGAATACAGTGAGTGGTTGGGGACCGTTAGTGTATTTGCTGATAATCCAGGGCAATAGTATCTGGAGGGGAACCATTGGAATGGCTAGAAGTGCTAAGTTCTCTCTGTGAACACCCGCTTCAATAAGCTTAAGACCAGTGGCCGAGTCGGTCACTGCGAACCCCATCTTACAGGTCAGCAAAACCAATGCAAACAAACGAATGGACGGTAAGTGAAAGATACGGTATAGCATTGAATAGGTCTCCGCGACTCCCATTTCTGGCTCGTCATCCGGCAAACTATTGGACTCGCGTTTCAATATCATTACGAGAGTCGTCGACACCATAAACACGAGTCCCCAGAAGTAGAAGAACCCGGGTAATGTCACCAATCCGTGCGTTTGCGCCTCACTTCTCAAATAATTGTTGCAAAAGTCGGCCGATTCTAAGGCCAGAAACACNTCCGGCAAACTATTGGACTCGCGTTTCAATATCATTACGAGAGTCGTCGACACCATAAACACGAGTCCCCAGAAGTAGAAGAACCCGGGTAATGTCACCAATCCGTGCGTTTGCGCCTCACTTCTCAAATAATTGTTGCAAAAGTCGGCCGATTCTAAGGCCAGAAACACGACGTTCCCCAAGAAATAGCCGGCTGTCTGTCCCACTGTATTACAAGTGGAGGCATAGCCCACGTTCTCGCGGGACAGCATAGTTAGCGCCCACCCGTCCACTGCTATGTCTTGAGTGGCGGCCAAGAAGTTGAGCGCAAAGAAGACAGCCGTCAGCAGATAGATGTTGGGCCCGACGCCAGAGTCGTCCAGAAGTGAGTCCACTGTCTGCGAGAGCACTAACATGAAGACAGCGATGGCGTATTGGGTGGGAATAAGCCATGTCTTGCGGCGACCCATGGCTGACAGGTATAAGGAGTCGACAATCGGTGCCCACAAGAGTTTGACAGAGAAGGGCCACGAGACGAATGAGAAGATGGCCTGATCTGCATAACTAACCTTCCGGTTCGTCAGTATCATCGGAATACTGGCCGCCAAACCCAATGGTATTCCTTGTAATACATATAGAAAGAGCAGAACTGCTATCGATATGTAGTCTTTCGACACTTTGTTTGCACCCATTTTGCTCTTCTTGTGGTCTTCAATATCATGCGTCCATCCGTTCACTTCTTGAGATTCGTTACCCACTGCCACAGATCTCTGATGCACTCTTTGCGAGCGATTCCTCTCAGGCATTGTCTTCTAATCAATGATAATATGTGTCAATAATACCATTCATTCAAACAACTCATCGATTGTGTGCCCAAGAAATGTGATGTGATTTAGAGTAAGAGTTGGTGTGGACTACGAGATGATCACCAAATGTTACCACACTTTCAATGCACAGACACTGATAGACGTGTTATTAGAGTGTTATGTAATCAATAGTTTTCGTCTTTTGAATGAGCATTAAATCAATTGAACGAACATTTGGTTCACATATCATATGAGATGTAATGAAAGTATTAAATCGTGTCATGTATTCAACACTCAATTCAATGAATCGGCGTTTAAATAGACACCAAATTGTATGCAATTATAAGCATCAAGTGAATAGTGTTTAACCGAAAACTCAACCACAAGTCACTTGTAGTGAGCGCCACGTATTGACTATTTGTAGCACACATTCATGCATTCATTTCAATAAATTCCGAATTTAACATAATTATGGTTATTTAGTAAATAAAAATACTCTGGTAATTAGTTATTTTATAATATTGTAGTTACTTTATACTAATACTACATTATAACAATAAAATGACAAATATACAGTATCTTGTATTATGAAGTGTTAATTAGTTGAGTGACACGTTTTTATTGAATTTACAGAATATTCTGTTTATTTTTAAGAATATTGTCAATTTAGAGAGAGAGAGAGAGAGAGA